CTGGACCATTTAGACATAATTAACATATTACATGATATTTGTAGACACCACACTGGACCATTTAGACATAATTAACATATTACATGATATTTGTAGACACCACACTGGACCATTTAGACATAATTAACATATTACATGATAGTATTATGCTTCAAACAATAATCTCTATTTTCTTTGTTTGTGTGTGAATTTAAACTTACCTCTGCAAGTACCATCAATTTCAAGTGCAAAGCCTCGTGGACAAATACAGAAACCATAAGTTCCACCCACATATACACATTCTTGATTTTCTGGACACGGGTTGGTGGTAGTGCAGTTGTAGCTTGTTCCTGAGCATTAGGAAAACAATGAAAAATGAAGTTATAGTTTCAGTTATGACAGATTACATTCAACATAAAACTAACAAATATTAAACAAACAAAAAACAGTTTAAACACATTCACAGTACTAGTTTTCCAAGGATGATATTTTCATATTATATTTTTTAAATTCAAATCTAAAACAGCTATTTGATGAACTTACTTATACAGAAGTCATAACGTCTTGAGTAGTCTGGAGGACAGCCACAATAGCCATTAGGCAAACAGAATAGATTTCCTGGACAGTTCTGGTGAGACTGGCATCCTCTCACTGAAAGATATTCAAAATACGGCAAACACTCAAACCCGCAAGTCAACATAAGTAATAATCTTCATTAGCACAAAAAACTCACACTAAAATGCTCTGGTTAGTACTTTATGTGCTCAGAAATAAATTAACTAATGTATAGGATTAAAATCACTATTAATACTAATGTATTAAATCTATAAAAGATACTTCTGTAGCAAACATTCATTTATGTTATATAGAACTCATATTACAAGATTAAACGTTTTTACTTTAAAATAACTCGCCTCTTACAACATTAAAGAGACGACTATACAATTAAACATCTTGTTTTAAAACTACTTACCTCTAAGGCAATAAAGTAATAACTACAACATTAAACACCTGTCTAAAACTACTCAGTTCTATAACAGTAAAGTAATTACTACAACATTAAATACCTGTCTAAAACTACTCAGTTCTATAACAGTAAAATAGTTACTACAACATTAAACACCTGTCTAAAACTACTCAGTTCTATAACAGTAAAGTAATTATTACAACATTAAATATCTGTCTAAAACTACTCAGTTCTATAACAGTAAAGTAATTATTACAACATTAAATATCTGTCTAAAACTACTCAGTTCTATAACAGTAAAGTAATTATTACAACATTAAATATCTGTCTAAAACTACTCAGTTCTATAACAGTAAAGTAATTACTACAACATTAAACACCTGTCTAAAACTACTCAGTTCTATAACAGTAAAGTAATTACTACAACATTAAACACCTGTCTAAAACTACTCAGTTCTATAACAGTAAAGTAATTACTACAACATTAAACACCTGTCTAAAAACTACTCAGTTCTACAGCAGTAATTATTACAATATTAAACACCTCTCTAAAAACTACTCACCTCTACAGCAGTAATTATTACAATATTAAACTCCTGTTTAAAACTACTCACCTCTACAGCAGTAATTATTACAATATTAAACACCTCTCTAAAAAACTACTCACCTCTACAGCAGTAATTATTACAATATTAAACACCTCTCTAAAAAACTACTCACCTCTACAGCAGTAATTATTACAACATTAAACACCTCTCTAAAAAACTACTCACCTCTACAGCAGTAATTATTAAACATTAAACACCTCTCTTAAAAACTACTCACCTCTACAGCAGTAATTATTACAATATTAAACTCCTGTTTAAAACTACTCACCTCTACAGCAGTAATTATTACAATATTAAACTCCTGTTTAAAACTACTCACCTCTACAGCAGTAATTATTACAATATTAAACTCCTGTTTAAAACTACTCACCTCTATGGCAATAAAGTAATGGTTGTCCAGTAAAACCAGGTGGACAAGAACATTCTGGTTTGTGATTAACTACTCGGCAGTTGGCATTTCGGCCACAAGCACTATCAGTATGGCAAGGATCTGTTTCGATGAAACATAGCAATGGTTCAAAAAACATTAAACTGAGAAAGTTTATAGAACATCTAAAAACCAGTTTATCATCTTATGACTGTGTAGAACATCTAAAAACCAGTTTATCATCTTATGACTGTGTGGAACATCTAAAAAACAGTTTATCATCTTATGACTGTGTGGAACATCTACAAACAGTTTATAATCTTGTGACTATGTAGAACATGTATAAGCATATGGAACACCTACACAACACATAGTGTATTATATTATGACTTCATGAAACACCTACACAACACATAGTGTATTATATTATGACTTCATGAAACACCTACACAACACAGTGTATTATATTATGACTTCATGAAACACCTACACAACATATGGTGTATTATATTATAACTTCATGGAACACCTACACAACACATAGTGTATTATATTATGACTTCATGAAAC